CTGTTCTCCTTGGTAGTCATATCATCTTCAACCACAAATACATGTATGTTGTCAATCCATGACTAATTTTTTTTCTCTCCGTAACAACATTGTTTGGTTAGAAAAATGAGATAGGCTACTCTTGAAATATGCTACAAATTAATGTTAATATAACTGTGCACTTTCCTTTTAGATCTTAATGAAGATTCTGTGGTACACACGCTTAACCTCATTCATCCCAAGCTGGAGTACCAGCTGTTACTGGCCAAAAAAGTCCAGCTTATAGAGGGGCTAAAAGTGAGTGGCTATCAATACTGTAGCTCAGACTTTGTCATTAAGTAAATTATTAAAGCACATGCAGTTATCTCATAACATCATTGTTTCCATGTTTGTCAAGAAACAGTATTTGAAATTATTATATAACTGATAAGGAAACTAAATACTGTAAGTGCAAGCTGAAGGAATGTGTATGAGTGTGTGTATAAAACATGTACACCTGCCCAGTAACTTAAACCTGTATTACTGTAGTCCTGGATTGTGGAGCTTCTTATTTGTACCAAGGAAAACTCTCTCAATTCTATAAATTAGCAAGAGCACTTTTTCCTTGTTTACATAGCCTCATCTAAACATGAGGGGGGTTGGAGAATTCAAGACAGTTATGCAAACTCAAGATGCAGTCGGAGGTTTCCATAACTTTTCGGAAATTCTCCCAATCTCCCAATCTCCCAATCTCCCAAGTGTTTAGATGAAGTTATATAAACATGGGAAAAGTCTCCTATTGCTTTTATAAAATATTTCTCAAAGATATGTCACAACTGTGTATACATGCTCTCATCTAATTGAACACGCCTATCGACTAATGAGGATGTGCATAATATTTCAGTTATTTTGTAATATCTTATTATGATTACTATAAATCCTGTTTCTAGCTTCAAGGTATATAATTAGGTACTCCTTGATGATTAGATTGAATTATTGAATGACTGATCAATTAATTGATCGATCGATTGATTGAATGAACAATCTTCTCTTTTCAGGAACTGCAGATGCATGAGCAAGACATTGGATTTTTTGCTCCAGAATACCAAAAAATTCTGGGTAAGAGGAAAAAATCTTTTAGTCATAGCTATAAAAATGTACTACATCTGTAACACGAAGTAATGGTAAAACTGGAAATGAACTCTGTTTTCCATGTGATGGCGTAGTTGTATCCATTGGTAGTAAAAGTGATGTGGCTGCAAATTATAAGGATTATTTTCACTCTCTCCTTCCTCACACCTCATTGGCTCTCAAATCCAACACACGCTGGTGGAATAATTGTTAATTAGCCTGCATCACAGACAGACTACACCACCTGTATAGACTATATCGAAGATTTTGTGACATGTCCATGTAGCTGCACTGCAGGCTCACTCAATTTATAAAAAACCGGATCACTAAATAATGCAATTCAAGAGTTTTCATTGGCTAGCCATCATGGTATATGAGCAGTTATACAATGCTTTACAAAAAGTACTAAGCCATATGCGTAAGTTTTTGAGATGATATTTTTATTTTATATATGTAGGTTTATATTTTGGGGGCGTTTCTAATAAAAGAATTATAATTCCAAGTGTCATACTTTCAAAGTTTTCTTAGAATAAAGGGTGGCTGTAAGGCACAATGTTTGTCTGTAGTTTGATGCCATTAATTTCTGTTCAGATGATTCAGAAAACCTTCAAGCAGAATACAAGAAGCAGCCTTGCCACTTGGAGAGACTTTATGGTATCCTTTTCAAAATTAATTCCTATCCAGTTAGTTTTCTGTGGTAACAAAGTTATCAACAACATCTCCAGGGCATTGAAAATATTATGAAAGTTAACTCCAGTCCCCTTGATTATTTGAAAGATAATTTAAAGTTTTATTTTGTCAGAAATTTGAAAGGATAGCAGTGTGTTACTGTGCAGGTAGGGAGATTAAGGGGGATGCGAGGAGTTGGTTGTAATAAGAAGTTTATAGGAGCTTTGTATCCCTTTTATGACAGATAATATTATCTTTTCCCTGTCTCTAACTTCACATGAAGGACCTTTGTAGCACAAGGTGATTTCAGATGACACTTCAAATACATGTAGACTGCCAGTAACAAAGAACAGCAAATGGGTTAACAATATTAGTTGTTGTTGTGTGTTTGGGGGGCGGTGGGGGATTGCGGCGGTTGATAGTTCCTTGTATGTTGTTTATTACTTATTTATTCTTAACAAATGTTGAGGCATGATCACTGATCTCTACATTGACAAGTTTAAGTTCAAGGTGAGGACTGCATTTTACCAGTGTTAAGCTCAAAAGACAAGTACATTGTAAAATTATTCTCCTTGGTGACTGCACACCGGGCATAACTTTTTCATGTTAGTTTTAACTGATTTGTTGTTGCCTCGAGGCAACATTCTCTACCTCAGTGATGATTAATTTCATTCTTCTCATTACCTGCCTCCTTAGTAGTGCATTGATATTTTTAGGAGAAATAAGACACTAATTATACGAATTTATTTCAGGGGATGAATGTGAAAAACAAGGTTCCTAACCTCCTGGAGGTGCTCGACAACTACGATCTACAGAATCTTGTGGACTTTTTTGAAGGAGCATAGTGGAACATATTAAAGTCATTACGAGTCAATACCTCGTATTTTGTTGACTAAGCAGAAAAAAAATAAAGTTGAACCTCCACTAACAGCGACCTCTCTACAGCGGTCACTTTTTTCAGTCCTGGTGGACAGCCTATGTTTTCATTCTTATTTTAACTCCTCTACAACAACCAACTCTCCACAATGGCAACGGCCACTAAAACTTGTCTCACCTGCCCAAAAATCTCTGGACAATGGCCAGTTAATCAACGACTGGCAAACGGTGTACACGAAACCCCATTTTAACGATACATTTTAATTTATATTTTGTTTAACTGACAAAAAAGTTACACCCTGAAAAAGGCCAGCTTCCTCTGTCCGTAAGGTGACCATTGTGGAGAGGTTCCACCGTATATTTCAGTGTAAAAATATCAATTTTTGTCTGACATACTTTAAAGTAGCCTCTGAACTAGTTTATTTATTTGAAGGTTTTGTAACTTTTGTACATAGCGGTGTGCTTTGTTGTTAATTACTATAAGTGTAAAAAACTATCATTTGCTTTAATGCCCATCAGTCACTCAGTCGGAAAAAGGAAACCTACAAATACATGTACAACTATCTTCAACTTGTGTAACACAACCATCACACTAAATAAATATAGCAAGAACTTAAAAAATTATTCACAGAATGAAGTGTTTGAATTTGCCGTAATAATCAGTAAACAATAAAAAAGTAAAATCATCACTAGGCATACAATACTGGGTGACTTGACAACTCTAGGTCATAAAAAGATTTCAGCTCATTCTTCTTAGTGACAAGGCCTCAACTAGTCACCAGGGTCTCTTTTCTTCCTGCCCCTAAGACCCATGGTGCTTTTCATTCAGCGAGGGGGGGATTACACCAGACTTGGAGGAAATTTTCCATGGTCAATGGGACATCATTTTCGAGAATATCTGAGAAAGAAGACAATCTTGTGATGCATACTCAAATGTTTATCGGTAATTTCTGTTCCATTTGACTTTTCTTCTTGAATCTCCAGATTTTTTTGTTGAATGGTTCGCATTTGGAAATTGAACAATTTTTGGATTTTCAGGGAACTTAACAACAAAATTTCTGTACCTTTGCCCCTCTTTCAAAAGTTCCAAAATGCTTGGTTGAATGGAAAGCATCCCCAATATAGTTGAAGCAGCTGTGTGCTGTTTCCTGCATCTTCACATCTCCCCCC